TACAAAATGGATTATACATTTACCAAATTTAATACAACAGACTGTTTATTAAGAATGTAGAACATAGTGATAAAAAGAACTTAGTTCTTGAGTTGATAAATTAAAATTAGATATAAAAATAAACTAGATTTTCAATATAAAGCAGAATTAAATGAATTCTGTCATAGAAATTGAAACAAGAAGCTATGGGAAATAAATAGGACAGTTGTAAGACTTCAGGAAAAGGGAACTGGCATGGAGCTGCATTGGATGTCAGTGAGTGCGTGTGTTGGGAAGCATGGTAATGCTTGCTATGCTCAGATACTGAGAACTAGTCCAGCATGCTTGTAGCATAGAATACACATAATTGTGGTGGAGAAACGAGGTCAGTGAGATGGTATGGAGTCAGATTGGGACTCATGCCTAGAATTTTCGGTCAAATCCATAGATCATGGGAAGCAATTAAATATATTTGCCGAGCACGTTGAAAAGGCCAATGAAGAAGGATCAAGAATCAGCCAAGTAATTGTTTCATTCGCTTTGAAATAACTGCAAAAGAGTTGAATTCTCAGCAAAGATGTAAGTTCCATAGTCTCTAAAATGAGCATATACATAGCAACTGATGCTTCCTGGAATGATCAACCACAATTGGCTGGACCCCTGGGAAGCTACAGGCCACACCCAGGGGCTGATCCATCATGAAAGTTCTTCAGAGCTAACATTATTGTGCAAATATGTGATATTATCATCAGTATTATGTTTCAGTACTCATCAATAAAGATACTCTTGTGGACAAAATTGTATTTATTATTTATGTATTTATTTAGAGACAAAGTCTGGCTCTTGTCACCCAGGTTGGAGTGCAGCACCGAGATCTCAGCTCACCACAACCTCCACCTCCTGGGTTCAAGCTTCAAGTGATTCTCTTGCCTCAGCCTCCGGAGTAGCTGGGATTACAGGCACGCATCACCACACCCAGCTAATTTTTGTATTTTTAGTAGAGTTGGGATTTCACCATGTTGGTCAGGCTGGTCTTGAACTCCTGACCTCATGGTCTGCCCACCTTGGCCTCCTAAAGTGCTGTAATTACAGGTGTGAGCCACCGTGCCTGGCCACAAAACCATACCTAATGAGGGGCATGATATAATTTGTGTTTTAGAGGAAATAATTTGATTATGACAGCCTAAACAATGTGAGTTACTAACATTAAAAAGTAATTGAGGTGTTTTGTAATAGCCCAAATGAAAAGTTTGAAGGTTCTAAACTAGGATTGTAGTTCAGAAGGAATGTAAAGGGCTCCAGTATAATAGATACATGGCAGGGCGGGGGGGCGTGCTCTATCACTCAGGAGCTGATGGAGCTTTAATGGATTATTCAGAAATATATTTTAAAATGTGATTTGCATTGTGGTCTATATAGTTTATGAAAGTCTGATTGATATTTCTTACATATTAATACATGATGCTGACCTAAAAACACTGGATTTACCTAATTGTACCTCTGCCTCAGCTTATCTTTTGCCTTATCGTGAGCTAGGCTCAACTAAGGGTTCTATGCCACTCACTTTTTGTTCTCATTTGAAAAAAAAAATTTTAATGCAAATAATTACTTGGAAGTCAAAACAAATACTTTGAAAAGGATTTAGGAACCCAGGCAGTAAAGGTAAGTTTTGTCTGCTTATGAATAGAGATTTTTTTGGTTATTGTTTAGGCTAATTTCAGGATCACATTTACAGGGGTATTTGTGAGGACAATAGACTTCGGCGATTCCTATTCTGCCCCCAAATAGAGCACAAATACTTCTCTTTGGTTGTGTTTTTATTTTGTTTATGTACTTATTTACCATTTTATAGGATGATAGTTATTTGCTTTTGTCTTGGTCAAAGTTTTCACAGGGGAGAGCAACATTTTTCAGTTTGGGTTGTAATAGTTATTCACAAAGGTATCCGTGTGTGTGTGTGTGTGTGTGTGTGTGTGTGTGTGTCCGTGAGTGTGCCCGTGCCTACGTAGACACTTGTCAACTTAAGAACATGATTTGCTATTTCTATACTTGGCAACATTTCTCTTCTTTGCTGAGCATTTGTTTTTATCAAGGAAAGAGGAGTTTTTTTGCTAAGAGTGTGGATTTCACTCCACCTGTTAGGATTAGTATAATGCACAAAGTCTCACAGATTAAATGTCTGAATGCCTCAGATAATTGTGTCCCCATCTTAACAATTCAAAGTTGGTCACTTTTAACCACAGATGCTTATAGTAACCTTGCAAGGACACGGAGTTTAGACTCCAAGCAATTTTCTGCTTGCGAATTTTGGCATTGGTTACAAGCCTAGTGATAGTCCCAGCTGGGAGAAAATTGTCAGCGATGGGAAGAATAATAAAGTTGAAGACTCCTGAAACAGGATGTGTGTGGTGTGTGTGTTGAGGGGACGGGGCACAGGTAGGTAGTAGAAGAGAAAGAATTTGACTGTTGAATGATTGGAGAAGCAAACGGTATGAAGCTTTTACTTTTAAGTTTTGATGCTGTTAGTAATGGAGAACAACTGACAAGCCAGTAATGTTTAATAAAACGCAGCATCAGAGCTCAGGTCGAAGTTCACAGTCAGGGCTTACTGTGTGATTTTTATTGTAAATGAATTTATTTTCTTTCTCATACTTGGAATACCACAGGAACATTGTATCACCATACCACGAAAACAGCGATCAGTTGGCAGGAATTAGGTAAATGAATCATAAGGGCTTGTTCTATAAGTGAAAGACCTTAATGTAATTTCAGTGTAGAAAAGCTTTCATTAAAGACATGACCCATGTATAACTGATATTTCTTGTGCTCTTCTGGATGTTCTAACGTTTCCTGCCACTGTCAGCAGTAATACGTAGATAAGTTGCCACCAGGTGCCATTCCAGAGGAGCAGAGGAAGGTAATGGAGCATTAGGAGAGCTGCATTGAACTTTTAGGCGGTCCAGGGACTGGAAGCTTAAAACCAACTTATTTTCATCCATCATCTGCATTGGTCTTGGGAGTCAAGTGTTTTGCTATGTATTGTTGAGTGTGGTGGAGTTTATTGTTATGTAATGGCAAGAAGGGACCCTTCTTATAAATCATAAAATGCACAGATGGAAACCATCTCAAAGCACTGAGGATCTGGAAGATTTGGGGGATGATCAGGTGGGGTTGGTTGCATATTCCTTCCTTTCCTTAAGTTCTCCTTTGCATCAGCACTTGAAGACCCTAGCACACAGCGCAGCAGTTCTGTCCTGGAGGGTGGATCTCATTAGAGGGACTGGGAATGTGGACTTTAGGCTGCCAGTTCTCATAATCCTGGCTCTGCCAGAGAGTTGGCTGGGCCACTTCAGGCAAGGTTCTTAGCCTTTCTCTACCTCAATTTCCTCATTTGTTAATGGGATTAAGGGCAGATGTGAATATTGAATGACTTACTACCTAAAGAATGTTTTACCCGTGTAACAAACCTTCAAATCTTCACAGGTACCTCTGAACCTAAAATAAAGTTTTGTTTGTTTTTAAAAGAATGTTAAGCATAGTGACTGACATCTAGGAAGTTCTTAATAATTCAAACTATAATAATTCTCACATTTCACCCTTTGTATTATAAATTAGGGGGAGATACACATATAATAGTAACCCTAAAAATGACTTAAGAAAGCTAAATAATTCACAATAGCTCAACAACACACCTTTTCCATACACTGAATAAACATGCGGAGTAGAATCCACTAGATAATTCCACACTGAAAAAAAAATTAAATTATAACTTGTGCCAGAGATTTTTTTTTGTATTACTTAGGCCTGACTAAAAACTACAGAAACCAAAAATTAAATGAGGTATTCAAGTACTTGGAAGCAGAGGATAAACACAGCTGTTAAACAGTGCAGTGGAAGAGTCACTTACAGAAATTCCAGGTGTAAAAAGCTATGTCCGCAACAGCTACCAGGGAAGGATGAAAATGCACCATGCCTATACTTTCCTCGGTGTTTTTTTTCCCCATATTTTATATATTTTTAGCACCTTGTCTTTTAAAAATGCAAATATAGTTCTATAGGGCAGTGAAAAACTTTACTGTTTGGTAAATTGGGTTTTTACATTCATATTAACCAAAGTCCAGAATGATGGCACTTATAGAGGGTGAAAGATTGTTGAAATGACAGATTGAGTAGTGTGTTTCTCAGGTTATGAAGTTCAGGGAAATGTGTAATTACGTCTGAGTTTCCTGAGGTTCCTCTGTTCAACATAATGTTCTGACATACAGCAGGGACAGTTCCAGATAGGAAATGCAAATCGGGATTTGCTGCCCCTGCTGCTGATGCTGTGCTTAATCATGCAAATCTAATGCAGTTCTTGGTATTTCAAGAAAGGTTTTACTTGAAGTCCCATGCACATATTGATTTAAAATTCCTACTTTAGAGAGCAGTGTCATTTTTTTCAGCTTCAAATTTTAAAATATAGGATGGGATTTGGAGACAGACTTAGAGACTGGACATCCAGCCAGACTCGTTAATCACAGAAAGGAGCGGGAGTGGGGACAGGGCAGGGAGGAGGAAGAAAAAGGCACCCTAAAAGAATGTGGGGGTGTCTAAGAATATTAAACGACATATTAGAACTAGATTTACAAGTGTTCTATAGAAAGTTTCTTTGCTTGAAGTAGATCAAATCAACCAATTATACACGTTTACTGAGTGCCTGCTATGTTCAAAGAAGATGGCTAACACTGGCAAGAACAGATCAAATCAAAAGTAGCACTACAACCAGCTCCCAACTTTGGGAATGATATAAAATACCTTTGGAAATGAGACTGTTTACAGGAAGAAATGAAATTGTCTTGCTCACAAGTACCAGCTGACACATTCTAATAGCCTTTCTGCTGTGCACAATAAGCGTTCAGCTTATCTTTCCAAGAACAATAACATTTCATGTACTGCTGCCTGATGTAAGAATTATTTTTACATATCTCCATATCGCTGACTCTCTTGTAAGTTAATCTCATCTCACATGAATTTTTCACCAGCTCCACTCTGATGTTGATAAAGGAGATGGTTCCATCAAATACATCTTGTCAGGCGAAGGGGCAAGTTCCATTTTCATTATTGATGAGAACACTGGGGATATTCATGCCACCAAGAGACTGGATCGTGAGGAGCAGGCCTACTACACGCTCCGAGCTCAAGCACTTGACAGGCTCACCAACAAGCCCGTGGAGCCCGAGTCTGAGTTTGTCATCAAAATTCAGGATATCAACGACAATGAACCCAAGTTTTTGGATGGCCCATACACGGCAGGAGTTCCTGAAATGTCTCCTGTGGGTAAGTAAAGAGCACTCTGCTTTTGTAGCTTGTGGCTGATTTGGGGAGGTTTGTATTTAAAATTAAATCATCATTAAATACTGGAAAAAAAAACAAACAAACACTAGTATGTGTGTAGTAACTGTCCATTAGGGTGAGGAGAACATTTGAGCCATGTTGGTAGCCAATATCCATCAACTTAACATTATTTATTTGTATGGAAAATTAGGAAATTGTTTTTATTTATACAGCTATTTCAGTGTTTTCAGGAAATTACTTTAATCTTACATTTTTTTCAACTTGATATTCATTTATTTTTAAATGATTACAGTGATGCCTCAGAAGTTAACAAACAGAATTCTTCCAGACACAGGCCAGTGATGATCTTTTACTTTTCTTTCCATTATATTGAGATATTGATTCATTATCCTAAACAATCTCTGGGACCAATGTATCAATAAGGCCGTTGTTGGCTAGCCAGGCTAATATGTGGACTGGCTGGTCTATTTAATTGTAATGAGTATCCTTGGACCCACAAATGGTCATCCACATACCACCACTGATTTTTTTTTTTAATTTTAAGATTAGGGATACATGTGTAGGATGCTCACGTTAGATAGGTAAACCTGTACCGTGGTGGTTTGCTGCACACATTATCTCATCACCTATTAAGCCCAGCATCCCTAAGCTGTTTTCCTGATGTTCTCCCTCCTCCCCTAACCCTCCGACAGGCCCCAATGTGTGTTGTTCCCTGCCATGTGTCCATGGTACCACGTGTTTTCAAAAATTTCTCCAAACACTTAAATGCGTGAAACTTTGTAGTGAATTTATAGCAATGGTAAGGAGATACCATTTGGAGATATATATTTAAAAAATGAAGGCTTTTTTATTTAAAGGCCTTTGGTCATTGCACGATTACTAGAAAGATGGCAAGTAAAGAAGTCTAGTGTGTATTTTATTTATATCTAATAATAGAAATTCTTTTTTAAAAATTTCATTTATCCAGATAATTTTGGAATAGTTTACGGCCAGTATGTAATTTAAGCTTAGGCAATCTTAACAAAAATAAAAGTAAAAAAATATGAAACTGGATGAGAGATGGATTGATTTATATATTTATTTCCTGCTTTTTTAAATATTGAAATAGGAAATTTATATAAAATAATAATGGAAGTTATATTTTTACACATGGGGATTTTAACCAATATGATTTATTTAAAAACAAGGTCATTTCATTCATCCAGTCATGCAGTCAGCATTACCAAGACACTGACGATTGGGGTTGCAAGATGTGTATCATGTGTGCTCGTTAGGGGAATCACAGTTCAGTGGCCCTAAATTTCTGTTCCTATAAGAAGAGAGAGGGGAAATTATTTGGGCCATTACCATAGCTCTAGCCTGTAGAGGAACAGCAAATGATGAGACAGGAATCAGTCCTTGTGGACAGGAGGAATTTGAACTACAGTGGCACTATCTTACTATAGTTAGCACATATGTAAGCATTGCTAGCATTTCTGTGACCACATAGACGTATTCACACTTTCTCACTACTGTCCACACCTTCCAAGTGCTTCCTGCTGCTCTTTGCTTACCAACAAGAGCAGCAGGCACGGTAACTGTTAGAAGGTTTTGGAGGATTTTGAAAAAAGAAAGGGCCTATTTTCCTCCCGAAATTAGTAATGTTTAGTAAAACAGGAATTTTTGAGACCTGTTTGAGCAATTCAATTCAACTTCGTACTCCAATTCTCATGGACATTTTGGTGGTTTTTCATTGGCTTGCTAAGGTTTTCCTTTCCTACATAGAATATAGCTATGCAAATTGGGTACATGTGAACTTTTGTTTTAGAAGCTAATAGTACACTGTCATTTTGATTTTGATAGTACTCTGACATCAAATGGCATAACCATTATGCACACTTAAATAATGTATGTTGTAAATAAAATAACATGTTATTTACATGTACACAGTAGTCATGCCATTTCATATCACAGTACTTAAATAATTTATATTTAAGTTATTTACTTAGCTGATTCAAATGGGATTGGAACTTTTTTAGAAAATTATTTTCAGATGTCTTCAGGGTGTACTTGACACCTATTCAGGCCACTAAGTTAATACAAAAATCGGAACATAGAACATGGAATATCTATACTACATAACACATATTGTATGAACTTACAGTTTATCAACACTATATTTAAAGTGCTTAAGCCTAACCAAGTATAATAGCCATCAAATAGTATGAAATATACCATGCAAGCTATCGGTGTTTAATATTCAGGGATCTTTTTTTAAATTTTTAATCGGATGTTAACTAATGATAAAATTTTAAAAACACTAGTAAACCTTTAGGATACTTTATTTATTGCCAGAAGAACATAGACAGGCATGGAAAGTTTAAATTTATTTGTGAATATGTGTGTGTATTTAGTGTGTGTGTCTATATATGTTAAATGAGATAAAAACTTTTCAGAAAAAAACCTGTTTTATTGTCCACAGCCAAACTTACTGAAGTTTAGTTTTTATTACTTGCTTTAAAATTGTTTACTTTCTTTTAAAATGAAGTAGCAAAATCATACTTAGTCATAGTACCAAAATAAACATTGGAAAGGTGATGCATATAGAAGAGAGACCATAATGTAATTTATTATAACATTAAAAATATTCAAACTTTAATTCTTAAAAAGATTTTAAAATATGCGTTATTTACCATCTTGGCCATATCAGATATCCACAGAGCACAATCATCTAAGTCCATAAAATTAAAAACTTCAGGATTTTAAGAATAGTGTTGTACACTTAACTTTTATAATTTCTACATAATTTTAAAGAAAATGAAATTGGCAAGCAAATATATATAGAAAATAAAGTAGATTTATAGCAAAATGTACATTACTGGCTTAAGAGATTTAGAAAGAGATATTTACATAGAAATAAATCTAAAAAATATGTTTGCTTTAAAATGTCATATTCAGGAAATTATTTGAAACAAGCTAGGACCTTAAAGAATACATAAAGAAAGGGACTTGTTCCGTATTTAAAATGTAAGATAATTACTAAATAATAGTATAGAATTCCATATGTAAAGTAGGCAAACATGAGTCTCTAATATTTTAAAAATTACATTCCAAACGGGAAAAAATAACAGATTGGGAGAAATGCTTTCTATATTTAATGTGTGAATATATAGTAAATGAAGAAAGAATTCAACATTTCATCATATGTAATAAAGAAAAAAATATTGATACACTTTTTAAAGTTGCCATGGTTTTTCTCTTTTGGAAGGGGTTTGGTATAAATTTTCATTTTCTGTCTTGTTTTTAAATCAAATGCTGGAAACAATAAAACAATTCCCAAGGAGATAGGGTAGCCACATTTGATCCAGTGAGGTGGATCAAATCTTCTTTGTCATTTAATGACATTTTGGTGTCTGTCTGGGTCTTCCTAACTATGACAGTTGGATACCCGCAGTAGTTGGAGTGTCCAAGATGCTATTGTCATGCTGCTTTCCGGACAGTGATTGAGTCTGCTAGAAGCTGTGCTTGATGAAAATGTATTACCTGAGCCCCATGGATGAGATGCCTAAAATTTCAGTCCCATCTGATTCGGAGTATATCCCAGCCTAAGGAGTATCATTGATAGTATTTTTTGCCAGAATGTTTCTTATCCCTTAAATATTTCAAAGGTTTTGTTAATATTTATCATCTCTTTAGGGTTGGTTTATTAAAAAAAATACTGTATCAATTTTTATGTGCCTTGAAAAAAGATAAATGAAAACTTTCAAATAAGTTTAATGTGGAATCAGTAACATTTTTTGAGTTATTTTGTTTTGTGGCATTTGGAAGTTTTTAATTCAGTGGTTTTGGGATTGGCATCTAGGGACCTCAGTTGTACAAGTGACAGCGACAGATGCTGATGATCCTACGTATGGCAACAGTGCCAGAGTGGTCTACAGTATTCTGCAGGGACAGCCATACTTCTCAGTGGAGCCAAAGACAGGTAAAAATTGACATATGACATTCTTGTAAACCATAATTTATACATTGCTTAGAATTAATATTAGTTATTATTCGTAAATATAGTTGGCACTAGCATACTATTTTATTATGCTTTTTAAAAATAAGTTTGAAAGAATGCTATATATTCAAAAGTATTTCAGCTTCTATCTCCTGAATGCTTAGGAAAATTTTGATTATTTATCTCAGAGTTTTACTTGTATTTTTTTTTAAATTCACATGGGAAATTACACATGGTAAGTTTTATATCTCAAGCAGAAACCTCTCTGCCATGTAGTATAATAGTAGTAGTTTCAGTTTATTCTTCCAGACGTTACTTTTCTCAGGGAAATTAGTTTAAACATAACAATTAGGGTGATGATCTGCTACATCAAAAAGGGAATAAATTAAATGTGTGTGTGTATATATATACACACACACACACACACACACACACACACACACACACACACATACATATATATTTTTTTAATTTGGGGGAACAGTTTTTGCTGAGTCGAAAAGTGGTATGGATAGAATATGTAGTTGGTTTGTTCTGTTTTGTTTCTAAGCTGAAACAGTTTACATTAAGGCTATAACATGGAACATTGTTACCTTGGATATTAATTGATATTTTAGTACACTCAGTTTTTCTGGTCCTATGTGTGTAGGGAAGGGTGGGTGTATGTGCATATTATTGAATGTGTGTCACTGATGTTTTTAAACACTGTGAAAATCCAAGTTTTTTCTTTAAAAAATATTTTTGCCATTATCAAGGAGCTAAAATTCAAATATATAAATTTATGGTTATGAATATTAATCAGTACCTATAATCCTAAATGAATATTTTAATGCCATTGATTCTGTTTTCCATATTTACAAAAAGGGCAGTATTAACTTATTCTAAAATCCCTGCAGGGATAAATATTTTCAATGCCTTTTTCTGAATGACCATTGTAATGTGCATGAACAGAGAAGTAAATTTAATCTTAGCTCATTTGTTAGAGCTTTCATAGAGATGGAATGCATATTTTATACCAGTGTAGTGATAGGGCTTGGAAACTACATGCAAAGTCTAATAGGGAAGAAACAGTCATGATTAAGCAGTATTAAAGGAGAATTAAATGAAAGTATTTGATGTGTGATATGAATCCTGTTAATGTGGAAAGTGTGCTTCTGTTTGACTGAATGATAGATCTGAGAAACCTAAATTCACACACCCACTTCTTCCCTTATATGCCTACTCTTGGCAATCTGAAAAGACATTGACAAGTTTCTGACAATTTTCTCACAATCATACACTCCTGCCTTATATAACCTGTCCAAAAATAGCATGTATTAAGTCCAACGATTAAATACTTTTCTGCTACTAATGATTGGCTTGTGATTTTGGCTTTGCTGCAAAATAACAGGATTTTCATATAACCCTATGTAGATAAAGCCTTACCGGTTGATCAACTAGACAATAGTATATGTCATAGGATTAAATTATTAACATTTCAAAACTGATTTTAATTTCAGAGTTGAAAAGATTGTGTGTTACAAGAAAATAAGAAAGTTTAGTTTCTTTTTTAATGCTATAATTATGGTAATCACCAGAACTTCTTTTTCCATGGTCATTAGTTCAGAGATACTCTGTACATCTTTGCCCTCTGCTAATTTATAATATTTAGGGTACATTTTTTTTTGGGAGAAAAAATAAATTACATTTTATTTTCTGACCAAAATGGAAAGTTTTCAGACCTGAAGGTTATGGAGAGTTGTAAATTAAGGTTTCGTGAGTCCTGTTAGTCTTCCTTTCCTGATGTCTGTCTGATTCATTTATATGTGAGAAATAACATTATTTCCACTTCAAATCTAAGGATTTTTGGGGAATAAAGTAAAATGTTGACAGGAAAAATGTTGAAATTATGCTAAAAAAATTGGATATTTTTGTAAACATAGGCATAGGTCATCACTGTTAGATGCATTACTATAAATTTCTTCTTCTCAATTTCTAAGAAAATAACATGACTAAAACCTCAGAGCAAAATTCTCATCTATAGCACTATTTGCAGCCCAAATGACCAGAGTGTAACTATATTTTCTGTGTTAATTTCTCCTTCCCCCAAGCTAGAATGTGAGTAATTGCAAAATCCAGTGTTAACAGTTGACTTTAACATACAAGGTAGCATGGCACCAGAAACAAGATAAAACAACATTCCCTTGGAACTTCTCATCACCTATCTTCATAAGGTCCATAAACTTACCAGGAGATTATAGACATTACATTTATTCCATCAAATGTACTCAGGATTATTCTAAGGTGTATTTATTTATTTTTCAACCCACAAGCAAATAGATACCTTTTTTGGGTCTATTTGATTCATGGCAGGACTGGCTACCTAATTCACAGCTTAAGATGAACATGCAGGCCCTTTGTTCTTAAATGATTAAGGATTTAAAGACATCATCAGCAGAGCTTTTAACTAAGTACGGGGTCAGTATGACTGCACAGGTCACCTGGCCATGAAGCAAGCCTTGGAAAATGGATTGAATGTTAAGCATCATTTGTCATTTAGGAGTTCTCTTTTAGACATAAGAAGTATGGCTACATGGTGGCGGCATTGTGTTACATGCATACCTATTACATTATAATTTTTTGCGGGTGGTATTGTCTTAACATACGACCCTTCCAACTACAGCCTTTGCACATGTCCGGTTCTCGTGCTATGCAAGGGTGCTGCCTCTTGAAGGCTTGCTGAGGACATCCCCCACAAATTTCAAGAAGAGTCCCTTCCTCAATGACTCTTCATTTGCTGCCAACGCCGGAATTCTTTGATATTCCAGTAGCTTCCAACTTCAATATTTCACTGTTGTTGGCTCTTCTCCCTCTTTTTATAGTTCTCTTATATCTATACTACAGATACACAAGCAAAATAATGCAGAGCTTAGGGACAAAATTGAGAAAGAAATTGAAACTCATTAGCAGATTTTTATCTTATGTGTAAAAGAAAATGGGCATTCAAAAACTTTTGTGATTTTAGTTTTATAAATATTTTCCCCCCAAGAGTTTTCTCATATTAATTAGTAACATAGCTTTTGTGTAGCCAGGGCTGTACATTTCCCTCATATTTGATTTACTGCTGATAAATATCAGTAATAAGAGTACCATACTTGATTTTATTGCCTATTATATGAAATTCATTTATAATTTATATTCTAGTATTTAAACTATTATTATCAAATGATATTTTTAAAAACAGAAAGTAAGCCTGAAATATTGTGCCTATTTCAGTTTCTAAGTTCCTTTGAAATTCAACTTTCAAGCATCATTAGTATTTTTTTGAGTTGAAACTGCTTTGTTCAGGATCTATTTCCTCATGCCTCACTGTCTACATTTGCATCAAAGAGTGTTTCTTGACCCCAATCTGTATTCATCTCTGTAGTTCTACATATATGTAACATAAGACTTCACAATGTATTGCACTCATAATATTTAAAAAATCTAAACTGGTATATTTATTTTCACAGTGCAATTCAAGTCTCAAAGATACAGACACCTAAGAATGTCTGTACATCCCATTTTCCATTCTATTTCTAATTTACTTTTAATGAACTTTGTATATTATAGGTTTTGAGTTTTTTCCTTTTTAATTTCAATATTTATCAATATTTTACATTACAGAATGAGTTGGGTTTATTACAACTGGTGAATTACTCCAATGGGAGCTCTCCCCAGGAAAGAAGGTGGCAGTTAGGACTCAGAATAAATTTACAAAAGTGATCATTGTTATCCAGTCAGAATGTGCATGGGGGAGTACTCTCACCTATAACATAATAGCTGATCACATTGCATGAAAATATACAATTGTGTCTTCACTAGCAAAACATTATATTGGACATATTTTCCTGAATATGTACTATATTTCTAAACTCCACGTAACATAACACTCATTTATATAATGAAAAACAGAATAAGGGAATCTTGGTAATAAGCATCACTGAGATATTTTAAATACTCAGAATACATATTGATAGAAACTGAATACATGAATACATATTCAGTTCATTACAGTCATATCTATTATTCGCATTCACTGAGAAATAATCACACAAAAATAATTATCTCCAAAGGAGTTACCAACAGGACTAACATGATATCCAATTTTAGTTCTGTTAAAAGTAAAGCAAACAGCCAAACTACATGTATTTTAAATGACTTTATGCTGGTGCATGATTCTCCTGCTCATGTCTCAATGGTGCTCCCTTCACTGGCTGCTCCATTTTGGTGATGGCCATACCAAATGGCTTTAGTTGATTCCTGGTCCTTATGAGATAGGAGACCAGCAGGACTTATTTTCTGGTCAAAACCCTGCTAACCAAAACAGGATCTATTCCAGACAGGATAAAGTAGAGAAAGTGGCAGAAACCAGCAGATGTTGACAAAAGCGATCCCTAGCTGCCCTCATTGGCATAAGACACCCCCATCAGTGTCATGACAGTTAATTATTGCCATGGCAATAGCCCAGAAGTTACCACTCCTTTCCATTGCAATGACCCAGAAGTTACTGCCCCCTTTCCTAGAAATTTCAAAATAATCTTCCCCTCAATTTTCGTTGACCCACCCCTTAATTGACATGTAATTGAAATTGAGTTTACATAAGTAAAAATACATTTGCCAAGAAACCATAGATTGCAGAGTCTGGGCATACTGCCTGTTAGTTAGCACTGCTCCACAAAGAGTAGTCCCAGTTAATACAACTTGTTATTCAAAACCACAGGATTGCCCTTGAATTCCTTCGTGGGCAAAGCAAAGAACCTCTTGGGCTAAGCCCCAACTAGGGGCCTTGTTTTTTGGTATCACTTACCTCTTGATATATATTAAGTAAATACAAGCTGTAAGGAAACCAATACCTTTAATGTCTAATTGTATGGTTTTAGAATTCTTAGAGTAGCTATAGACAATAAAGGCTGTAATGGAGAGAGGGGAGCATAAAGGGCTTGGGGAGTTGGAAGTGCTGATGACCCAGGTCCTGGTTAGAGAAGTAACCTTGTTACTTCCTCAGTTAACAAGATTCCTGAGAAAGGTGGTTCTGCAATATTGAGATTCCCCTTGGAATGGTAGTCCAGTCAAAGTGATATCCAAAAATGTTGATTTAGTTTTAGTGAGGAAAATCCTAAAGGATTGAGCCCTCACAGTGTGAATGTCCCCAGCCCCTGTTATTAATATTTGGGTTCATATGGTTGCCTAGATTCTTGAGGGTAATTTAAAGATTGAATATGCAGAACCTATGCTCCATTGCTTCCTTAAAGTGTGATAGATTTCAGAAATGGCTCTTGTCTGTTATGTGGAGTACATATACCAAATTTTTAAGGAGATTCCATAGTAGCAGAATATGCTTTAAAAAAATCATTTGAGGCTGATAGGATATTAGATCATCAGAATTTTTTTCCTATACTTAAAGCAGTTTTTGAACAATAGCAATATGTTTATGTTTTACATGCACAGTGCTTTCTGTGAACATGGATACTAAATAAATGAAAAGTTCTGAGTTATGGTGTCAGATGTTATAGACATGGAAAAATTCTGATTCACAAACCCTAAAATAGGAGCCAGTGTCTTTTCCAAAGAACCCATAGATAGAATTTTTTTTTTTGCTAAGCCTAAGTGACATAAAATTATTGAATATTAAAATTATGTAATATTGTTAGCATGCATGAAAATCTCACAGAGTTATATGTATCCAATTGGTCGAGACTAGACTTTACTAGTTCAGTCATATGGTATTAACAATTTTCTCTCTGCGTGTGTATTTATATACACAATTATGTAATACATGACAAAACACACTTGAAATCCAATGTATGAGAATGCTTTTCCAAATTTAGACAGTTTTTACTTAAAAGTAAAAGCTAGCAAATGCCATACAAGTAGAAATCTATTATTAGTGGGTGTTCTTATTTCAAATCAACTTTTCCCAATTATGTTATTCTTGTCAAAAATATGTTCAATAGTTGAGGCATTTGGAAATTACCTTTCCTACCTGCATTGATTTGCAAACTTTGTGATGATTTCTGCCTTGGAAATGTGTTATTTATAGGCTCACTTATAAAGAGACAATTAGATGTGTGAAAAATAAGTGAGAAACTTTGACTACCAGTACTTCTATCTTTATGACGCTGTGTTTCCTTTCAAAAATAATTCCACTAAGCAAACCTATGACAGCATGAGTTTACAGTGTTTCCTTTGTTGATTAGTTAAGCGGTTATAGACTTCTCTCCATCACAATAAATGAGCAAAGATAACACACATATTGATATTAGAAGGAAAAATGAGAGATGAATAGAATTTTTTAAAAAATAAAAATAAGTGGGACTTAACTAAAAATAACTCAATAATTTTCCATGAAAATGAAATACATTTTGGTCATATTCAAAATAAGCAACGCTCAATTTTTAAAAAATGAGTTATAGAAATAATGATGAATAATAGCAAATAATAACAAACAGAAAAACCAGAAAGGAAAAGATGGAGATATTTATGTTACAGAACTCTCAGACCAAGTTTGTTTATGTTTGATGACAGTATAAGGGAAGTCAATATTTGCTTTGTTTTAAACTAGAGTTAATAGAAGTTTAGAAAAACAAAGATGAAAAATCTATAAAATCATTTTGGCTCTAAGAAGAATATCTGTATATTGGATGCTTATCACCTGGACCTAATTTGTATGTGATTTTTTTTCATTTTTATTATAATATTTCAAAGATCAATTTTAAAGTTTGTAGACAGACGTAAGGATTCATTGAAAGTGTTACTTAAAGTCAGCCTGGATTGCTGTGACAATAACATCCAACTGCAGTAAATGAATAAGTTAAAAAAAAAATAAGCAACCTGGACTACTCAAATAAGTGTAATTTATATGCTTAAAATATGGATCTGTTGCTGATATATGTGTGTGTTTGTGTTTGTGAGCTCATGTGCTCAGATTTAAACAAAAATATTGTTGCTAAAGATAGTGGAAATATTATTTAACTTGAAAACTGATAATAGGTGGTTATACATTTTTATAAGTTGTTGAGATGGAAGAAAAAGGCAAGTTCGTTGCTTTGCACTTGCACAGGTGGCTGTTCATTATTCTAGGTAAAAGGCCATTTTATTTATTTGTAAATTGTTGTTTCATTGACCACTTTTCCATGAAACCTAATGATAATCCTTTTTATCCAGTATTGAGAAAATCAAGTTAATAATGTTTTCTCTGTTTTGTTACTGTAAAACTATCGTATTTATTTGATCTTTAATACACAAAAAAATTTAAAGTAAACAAAACTACAGAAAGCAACAACTCAAGAACGACTTGCTACTTGTATCAGTATTCTTTGTTAGTGTAAATGCAGCGATTCATGATACGTTTTACTGGGGTTTGAAATTTTACAGGAGTCATCAAGACTGCCCTTCCAAACATGGATAGAGAGGCTAAAGACCAGTATTTGCTTGTTATTCAGGCAAAAGATATGGTTGGTCAAAATGGAGGACTGTCAGGAACTACATCAGTCACTGTGACCCTAACTGATGTCAACGATAATCCACCTCGCTTTCCTCGAAGTAAGTTGTTTTCTTAAGGGATACAAGTGCAATAACTTTCTCTGAAAGTCATAAATACATCTATAATTTCTTTTCAAATACTTTTAAAGCAAATAATTATCTTACTTCATTCTCCCAAATTTACATTTTGTTAGAGATATGATTTTGATTGAGCAATATGGATTGTAATAGTATTGGGCAGAAGTAGAAGCCATCATATATTTGCATTACTTCTATCTCAAATGTAGTAAGATTTTTCCTTCATCCACATTGTGAATACCAGACAATTATTAATTGTGTTAATGTATTAGTCTTTTTTCTAAGACTTATCCTTTTTATATTTTGTATGTTATAAGGTTGTTGCCAGTTAATAATATTCAAATATGTTTTATTCATTCTATGCACTAAAATACTGCTTTATTTTTGAAAATCAGAAAAGGGTAATAAACATTTTCATTTTTTCACTTCACATTTTTTTAAGCCAGTTCATTCACCCTGAGCATTCCTTTAGCAGTTCCCCACATCTTTCTTGTGCAAACATTCAGTGTTTTAAAAATCAATCTAAAGAACTGGAAAGCCAAATGCCCTCAATTCTACTTCTTTGACCAAAGCGGCTTTTAATTTAACCAAGAAAAAAGAAAAAATTATCTAGGTAGAGGTGTGCTGTTTGTAAAATACGCTTCACTTCATTCTCTTTTCAGTTCCCTTTTTACCCCCCTAAGTGTATGTGCTATTTCTTTAGAACATTCAAGAAAATAAAGAGATCATACAGACTACAATGTCTGTACAATGTCTCTAAAACGCTTTCCCAGTTGAAATGGGAAACTAAACTCCCTACCAACAGAATTTAGAAGTGAATTATATCAAAAAAGGAAGCTGCCTGAGCAAATATGAGTGCCATTGTTTTTTCCTTCAATGACTGCTTTTAAAAAATTTTTTTTACCTTTATCTGTATATTTTTAATATTTATATTATTATACAACAAATGGTATCTCCTGGTAATATAAAACAGTGGCCCCAAGTTTAGCATTATTTTTTTAAGCCTATTCTTAATTGTGTTCTTGATGGCCTATCATAAAGAAGAAGGAAGAACTTTTAGAATTAAAATAATGTAATGATCCAATTTCTTGGGCTCATAATGAAATGAACAGCTTCTCTTTTGTTTAAGCCTAGAATGATTTAAAAAAATGTAAAATTTTAGTAAGATACAGGTTTTCTAGGCCATTATAGATCCCCTATATAAATTATAGATTTATTTATTAAAGTTTATAAAGTCAAGGATATATCATTGTTACTCATTTTTGCTGGGATTTTTCTGTACCAGGGAATTACTAGCTTAACATTCACATTTTTTAATTTTACAAAGGATACTTTTGTGAAAGGGGTCACTCAAAAGTGATAACATATGTTATAATCATTTTTTTAAAAAGTAACTATTCACAAATTCTAGAAAATTGGAAACAACTCCAAATCTAATACGTATTTCCGTCATACAGGCACATTTTCCTTTCTGTATTCTACTCAGAGAGAATCCTTCCTTCTCCCTTCACAAGACAGGACAAATGCACCACAATTTAACAATCAAAGGAAACAGAAGAAGATGCAGAAGGCAGAAAAATGTTAATGATTAGAGAAACAATTGTCAGGGAATATAGCGTGCTGAGGTGTTTCCTCATTTCTGAGTGATGGTTCATGTGTTTCTTCGTCTGCCCCTAAACATTTTCTTTAGGGATGGTGAAGAGGAGTTATTACAAAAGTTAAACAAAAGTTTTAAAAAGTTATTTTTTTCTATTTTAATTTTTTTTTTTTTTGGTTCAAATAATATTGCCTAGGATTCTGGACCATTGTGCCCCAAATCAGTTCTACATACAACCCACAGACATCATTCTTCTCCTTTTTTACCCAGTTTTCTGAAACTCTCTTGGTAGAAGATGCTAAGTAAATTCCAACATTAAGTTGTGAAAATGATTTAGGCTTTTTTGTGGGTGTTCATTTGAAGCACAATCTATTCTATTTTTATTTCTTAGTATTTTATATAACTTTATTTCTATTTACTATAAATTACTATTTATTATTTATTTTATATTACTATTTATTTCTTACATATATAATTTTTAATGTAATTCAATAGAGTTATAATAGTTACATTTAAAATTATATATCAATTATAATTAATTTAAATTTATTTTTATTTTTTAATGTAGGATATTTCTTACCACCAGAAATACAGGAATTTGAGATTCCACTCTTGCCTTTCCTCAGACCATCTATTTCTGCTGTCACAGTGATTATTAGCTAATCATTCCCATCAAATTTCTTAAGGCTATATGAAATTTGTCTTTTGTTTCCGATTACTGTAGTATAGTTTTTATTAAAAAATAAAAAGATGTTAAGCTAAGATGATACCAAAATAACCCAGTAGTTTAACTTTTTATTGGTTAGCTTGGTGTAATGTGTTCATTTCTTGTTTTGAATTTCACAGGTTCTTACCAATATAATGTCCCAGAATCATTGCCTATAGCCTCAGTTGTTGCCAGAATTAAAGCTGCTGATGCAGATATTGGAGCTAATGCTGAAATGGAGTACAAAATTGTGGATGGTGATGGACTGGGCATTTTTAAGATTTCTGTTGACAAAGAGACACAGGAAGGAATCATTACTATACAGAAGGTAATGTTTTCTTTCTTTATCCCTTATCACAGATTACTGAGAAGTCCTATCTGTTTTATGGGAGAATGTACTAGACAAACCGAATGGCCATATGGGACCATTACTATTTTAATTTTAGTAAGATAAGCTATGCATTTATTTTTAGGTTTCAGAATCTTAGGAAACCCTGAGTTACATTTGTAATAACACCCATAAATTCTATCCTTTAAGAAACTCACAGCCATTATCTATAGCACTATAAAAATAAAGCACACTGACAAATGTGCTGTTTTAAAGACCTATTTGGAGAGATGAATATGTTTCTGCCTTGACTGTTACACTAATGAAACCCTAAAATCAACCAAAATCCTGTGTATGCAAGCAATGGACACTATTATTTTCTTCATAAATGGAAATAATATAATTTGAAGTAGAAACCAAAATGTTGAAGACTTGCTATATTACCAATTATTGCCTTTTAAAAAACTAATTGGAAGACTTGAATATTTCATACGAGAAGAGCATGAAAAGTTGTAAAACCTATCATAATTTCTACGGAGAGAGTTCAAAAGAGATTGAAAGTCAGTATAGCTGAAACAACTAAAGATTATTTTCTATAATATATTTAAATTGGCTCTCAACACAGTTATGGGTGAAAATAAACTACTGTCTTTTCAATATAGAGATATGATTTTGACAAACATTTAATCAAAAATAATGACTCAAAAGCTATTATTTCAGAATGTAGTCTTATCAACTATTTGAAATATTCAAAATATATTAATATCTTGACCCCTCAGATATGAAATTTTTTGTCAGTATGAAAATCAAATGTATAACTTTATAATTAATGCTTTCAGTAATTAGCACATATCAATAAAAAGTTATATTTTAGTTGTTTAGGGAAACACATGTTTGATTTCGGGCCAATGAGAAAAAACATTTCCACAGTTATTTCCACTGGAAAGCTGTTGTTTTAGCTCAGCTGATGACAATCTGTGTACAAAAGGTTTAATAACTAGGATAGGCCAACTGTTGGTAAAATGTTTTGTTGTCTAAAATAAAAAGAATTTAGTAAGGTACACTGATGCTCAAAGATTTCAAAGAGTCATCTGAAATCAATCTGTTCACATTCAAGAAATTTAAATGCAAACTGAAACTATTTTTATTCAATAAATATCTGTATTTTATATATTATAATGAAGATAGCATGAATTTTTGAAAATTCTAAATTTGATACAACGTATTTAATTTACTGAAGGAAATATAAAACTCTTAGTCCCTAATTTTATAAAATCATGTCTAGAAATTTTGGAAAATTGTTAGAAAAGAAAACATACAAAACACAGATTAAATATTATGTCATCTAAAAGCATAAAACCCATGAAAAAATTGTAAGTTGAAATTTGATTCTAACTTACAATAATATAAAACAACACAAATAATTGTTATTATTCTTATAGGTAACAATATCTGTGAGGATTTTTTTTTTTGAGCAATTTAGAGGCTTTATTTTCTCAACAATCTCATGAAATGACTATTAGGACACTGAAAATATAGAAACATAAAATATTGAACAATGGAAGAGATGGTAAATAATTTGTGATATTATCATATCAGTGATGGAAATTTTGTACGTCATTGAAGTAATGTTGTGATATTGTTTTTGCAAATGAATATGGAAAATTTTTATTTAAAAATTATCAAAAGGTAATATCTAGACTTTTACAAAGTCTTTCACATTTTATGAAAATTTTGTTTATACAGAATAAAAGATTACAAGAAAATGTTAAAATATTGATAGCATCATTTCTAGACCTTACATTTATTGATTTTTCAATAATATTCACTAATCATTGTTACAATTGAAATGTTGTAAAATGTATAAAAGAGTTATTCAAAGACCAAATTGATATGTCTCATTAAAATCACTTCATAATCTACTTTGACTATTATTAGAGATAAACATTCTTTTACAAATGCAGAAATAAATCACAGAAGATGTTATTCAGTGGGCTCAAATTTTGTGTATTGCTGAAGTTCTCTTAGGTATTAAAAAACCGTAATCCTCTATTTAATAAATTAAGATTAAAAACCATTCCAAATTTTTAAGAATTCAGATTAACAGAATTTTTGGTTTTGATGCTTGAGATTCCTTACTTCTGCCCAGCAATCTGAATGATGCTTTGCACCGAATGAAAGTCAATAATTGGTTATTATTAAATATTTATTCATCAGCCACTATATGAGAAGTTAGCTAAATATTTTAACAATTTCTTTCTCTATGAGATCAAAACACCATTATTTTTAGTTGCGATTGTTAGCAACTAAAAATAAATTTTATTTTCTTAAATGGCTTCTAATACATAAATTCTTATCTAATTATCTGTTTTCTTTGATAACATCAAAGATTATTTAGAAATAATTAAGCACTCACACAATGTACAGACAAACCTTGAGATACAACAGTGTTGAAAAATTTAATAATATTAATTCTGTGCCATAAATAGCCAATATAAATTTTAGTATCTAACAAAACAATTCTTGTTCATCCTGTATTACTATGAAGTGGAGAACCAAAATGATTAGCTATCAAAGGTCAAAAAAGTCACATTTAGTTTAAATCCAGGGATTTTAAATACATCAGTAGACAGTTCAGATGTTGAATGCCAACATGATTTTCTATATCATTTTGAGCCGAAACACACTATTTGTAAGAACAATAATTTAGACTAAGAAGTTAGTCATGGTTTATTACTTTTAAAGGGCGTTGCACAAACTTTCTTTCAGTTTTCTAACTTGCAAAAGAGACCTGATTTTTAAGTTTTATCTTCATGTGGAGAATATATATACCATATTGAGGCAGAACCATTAGATTCAAATGCCATGAACCTAAGCAGTATGGTCTGCAATTTTTATGTTCATTAATTCATCATGATAGGATGCATTTGTGTTGAGACAAGATATCTGAAACTTTGCTGTTTGAAATAAATAAAATTTGTATTAAAAATAACTCTGGTGCTTTTATACAGTACAGATAATATCAACATGGAAATAAATGAAAACAAAATCTCAGTTTTCTCCATGTTAAAAATCTTTAGGCTTACCAAACGTTACTTCTTACTTTCTTCTTACTCACTTTCTTTTCCATGTGGTTCTGAATAGATACTAGATAGTGGGGAAATTAACTAGTATACATGTTTATTTTTATTTTTATTTCCAAAGCTCCTTCCATCTCCAAACTAATTTTTAAAAATATTTCAGTTTTTCATTATCCGTTAATATGTTCCAGTGTCCAAAGAATCCTATTTTCTCATCTGTATTGGAATAAATAAATAATTCCTGTAAGAGTTGACTAAAAATAGTGGAAATGATACATTTGCGTTTTACTGCAGTTTAAGCTTACTAATTACAAAGTTTTTGTTTTTACCTGCAAAAATTGTTCGTAGTGTTATACAGTTGATTCTTAAACAACGTAGGTTTTAACTGAGTGAGTCCACTTATATATGGAATTTTTCAATAAATATGTTACTTTTTTTGGATATTTGTGACAATTTGAGGATATTGACAAATGACTTATGTAGCCTAGAGATCTTGAAAAATTTGACAAAAAAGTAGTTATGTAACGAGTCCCTAAAATCCCAGTCTATTTATGTGTTAATAAACTAATTGTGTTATCAGTTATCCTAGTCAACAGTAGGATATTAATAAAGTTTTGAGCCATCCATAGTTATACAAACATTTCTGACTGTGTAGGGCTGGTTCTCCTAACCCCTATGTTTTTCAGTGGTCAATTGTATATTCATCTAGTTTTTAGCTGAAAAATTACCATTAATTTATAACTTTCTCAATCTCAGCAATTATTTCATTAATTTATTGAAATATATAATTCACAGTTTGTGTGTAGCATCTATGCTTCTCACCCTGTGCTTGGATCCGGAATAATCCAGGGTTTGTCTTGTTATCCTCAAACACTGGTTATATTCTAACTCTTTCTATGAACCCCAAAGAACTATTGGATGCCGAGAATTGAGATCCCTTAAACTTGCTTTCAGTTTTCTAATGTGCAAAATAGATCTGATTTTTAAGTTTTATCTTAATGTGTAGAATACCATTCTGAGATAGAACCATTAGAAAATAATAATGCATAGCAGCAGAAGGCATGAACCTAAGCAGTATGATCTGTAAAATTTTTATGATCATTAACTCATCATGATAGGATACATGTGTATTAAGACCAGATATCTGAAACTTTGCTGTTTGAAATGGATAAAATTAAAAAAAAAAAAAAAACTATGGTGCTTCAGACTCATATTTGCAGATACATATTTCACTATTCCTCAGTTCCACTCAACAATCTAGAATAGTCACTAAACTACTTGTAATTCCTGAAAAGCAATGTAGTTTTTCCAGTTCTTCAAACCTCCTGCCTGTTGACTCCCCTGTGCTCTGCTTTCTTGCCCCCCCGTACCATAACTCACCTTTTGAGTCTAAAAAATCCCTCATATTTTGTCTTCAAACTAAATAGTAAACAGAAGCAGCACAGGGCCTGTACCAGCGAGATGTGTGTGCGTGTGTGTGTGTGTGTGTATTTTTTTTTCAAGGAAGGGTGTGTGTGTGTGTGTGTCCCTTCAATCATGACAACTAGTCTAATCATGGAATGTAGATGTCCCAGTTTCAAAAATATTGTGATTTTTTTCATAGACTTAGCTGTGGCCACAAGGATTGAATAAATATCCAAGGCTTTGTAGAAATGTCCAAGAGAACTCAGACCCCATCTGTCAGCCAACTGGTCAGTCCTACCAGGGCTTTCAAGGATTTGAACATACCCTAGGGAAGAAATTGAATAGTGGATGCATAAAACTGTTTTCCTCAGGTAGACAAGGGAAAGCGGCACAGAGGTTACCACCTGTACCGCTTTCCCTTGTCTACCCGAGAAAAACAGTTTATCTCATTTATGAGATAACCTGTTAAATACAGAAGGAAGAACTAGGGCAATTTCAAAGGAGAATAATGAGGAA